TTGAATGCAAAATTTAAGTTTCATATACGTTCACATAATTTTGTTTAAATATATCATCGATTCATGTTGACAAACTCATTAAACTGTGATCTGTAATTTTAAACTTTGATATATTTTTGAAATGTGATCTTGAAAGACAAAATACCTTTTCTCCAATCCATTTATATACTCCATTTCCGTTTAAATAGGGGCAATGTGTTAAGTATAACATACGTTTATTTTTATCCCAACGATTTAATTCCAATTTGACAATTTGTACACCTATTTAATGGTTAAAGATTGGTTAAAATTATGACATGAGTTGTTTTCAAGTAATAACTTTCATAAAATAAAGGTCATTTTTTATTTTACCTACGTCAAATACTTGTGCTCAACCTATGCGCTTAACTAAAGGAAGACACACTTGTACTTATCAAAGTATAATGAAATATACTAAGCTCGTTGTTGGATGTAAACATTGATTGTGACGCGAGTTCTTGTCGATCTATTATTCACAATTTATTTANAATTTCTTATTTTACCTACGTCAAATACTTGTGCTTAACCTATGCGCTTAACTAAAGGAAGAAACACTTGTACTCATCAAAGTATAATGAAATATACTAAAGCTCGTTGTTGGATGTAAACATTGATTGTGACGCGAGTTCTTGTCGATCTATTATTCACAATTTATTCAAATTATCATAGTATATGTCAGTGAGATCGTACATTGTGCAAATACTACACGTGTAAGCCAATTGACTTTAGATTTCAACGATGTAAAAAATAAAGAAGATGTCATCTTTTTCGTGTCAGTGGTTAGGCTATTCAATACCTTTGCCAAAGCATTTTTCTTTATACATACATATTGTAAGAAATGACATACCGTTACGACATTTCCATATATCCATATTCAAAACAACATGTTTTGCCACNATCAATTGACTTTAGATTTCAACGATGTAAAAAATATAGAAGATGCCATCTTCTTCGTGTCAGTGGTTAGGCTATTCAATACCAATGCCAAAGCATTTTTCTTTATACATACATATTGTAAGAAATGACATACCGTTACGACATTTCCATATATCCATATTCAAAACAACATGTTTTGCCACTGATCGATGCGTATTTCTTTTCAGATCGTGTATATGACAACAACGTTGACGTCACCATGGCAACAGTTATTATAGAGACAGCAGACGATCAAATTACATTCAAAATATGCATAGAAATCTTCGAGGAACGAAAAGCGATGCCATGCCTACACATATTTAACTAATAATGTATAAGCAAGTTTATAATCGAGACAAGTACCAACATCCGAGCAGAACCAGATACGTGTGCCATTTGCAGATACCAGGTGGAAACTGTCTGTGTCTTCGCATTAAACCCAAAAAAGCGGTACTTTGAAGATAATGCCGAGAAGGAGTTCCATGTTTGTTTTCCGTATTGATCATATCCAGCAGATCTATTCCACATCTTGCATACAACATCATTGCTGCAATAACAGCCACTCTCAAAGAGTTATTTAGAACTTCAATTGGTAAGACAACCCAACACAGACATAATCTGTATACAAATGCAAGACAAATATATCACGTTTTTTTCTATGAATGGAGAACGTGATAGGAAAGAAGAGGAAATGCGCAAGAGATAAACAACAACGAGAATGAATCAAAACAGTACAATTTAAAAACACATCAGGGCGGAGACCACACGCTTCAAAACAAGCAAATATCCAACGTTCACAGAAACGGAATAGCAATCAAACATCAGTAAAGCTGGGGTTTTTTCATGTACATATCAATGAATATCCAGTATATCTATTTTTTTGTGTAAAATTAGCATCACTGCGATACTGTATGATGAAACATGTTATAAACTCAATTTCACGTCTCAATATAAATTTTACTCTCTAAAGAACGCATTATCAGGTGCATAGAAAGGAATGTAGAGGNGTATCCAACGTTCACAGAAGCGGAATAGCAATCAAACATCAGTAAAGCTGGGTATTTTTCATGTACATATCAATGAATATCCAGTAAGTTTTTTTGTGTAAAATTAGCATCACTGCGACACTGTATGATGAAACATATTATCAATTTCACGTCTCAATATAAATTTTTCTCTCTAAAGAACGCATTATCAGGTGCATAGAAAGGAATGTAGAGGAACAGGAAGTGGTCATTTGGTAATTATTGATAAACAAGCTTTATCAGTGAAATTTGTACCATCGAAAGGCACCTTATGGGTACTTGTGAAAAAAACCATCGAAAAATCAAATAATACTTTATAATGCAGTGTCTCTATTTGAAAAATAAAACAAGGCGTGATTGAAAAGTTTGGTGTGATCGCGAAAATGTAATATTGTACCAAACATAATTTTCCATTTCGTTGTTTGACTGTACGTCGTCTACTTAGACTACTGCTACGGTTGAAATAATAATTAACCATATGTCATGTCATTTAAAGCAGGTGGAGTTGCGCAACAACAGTGAAGTGTCTTTTTTTAATTTCAAATAAAGTATTGACTTTTAATTGGACACCAAACTAGATATAAATACGTCCTTTCCAATCTTATATATTACGTTCAATGATATATTCTAAATATGTATCTTATTAACAATCTAAAAAGTATGGGGAAAGGTAAGCAACTCCACTTACACTATATTGGGCGTCTCTGCTTGGGTTTATTTATGATCATTAACAGCTATGGATGCATTTATAATGGCAAATATTTCATTTATAACTGTAACAGTTGACCTTTTAAACAAATGTCATAAATTGTTTTCTCAAAGAGTACAAAGTCATTGTTTCAATGTACATTTTTTCCTTCATTTTGGAACATGCTGTTTGTCAATGAAATAAAAAGGGGGACTTAGATAAGAGGTCGTGTAACACATTTTACCAGTCAGCGTGATTAAGTTGATTTGTTTAACGTCCTATTCACTGTTAAGGTAATGTAAGGACATACCTCGTTGTGAATGTAATATTTTTGTGCCTGTGTGTATGTGTACTGGAGACACGGTATGTTTTTGTATATGCCTCCTGGCGTTAGCGTGGATCTGATGCCAAATTTATAATGGTACTTAAATGATGTCACAATAATAACTAAACACGTTAAAGGGTAAAAGGTCATACGCAATGGAACGTGGTATTAAAACAAAAAATAAATAAACGTCAAAAAATATTTCCCAGGAAAAGTGTCCAAAGTGATCATCTTCGACAAGTCACTGTATAATAAGGGTTTAAAATACACATCCTGCAAGGAACTGAAACAAGAAATGTCATGTATATTTTGTACTGCATTGAGTATAACTTCTTAAATGAACGTATTTACCATATCAAACATTATCTAATGGTAAGGTAATGTAGCTTGCCTATCATTTAACAAAAATGAACCCACTGAACTAACTTACACAAAAACAGTATATTTGCCTAGCATAATGTCGTTTGTAGGAAAAGCCAGTTGTTCTCCACAGCTTAAGTAAGATGAACAGAAATTATTTAACGCATGCATTGTTTAACCTTTCATCTCAATTAATTGAACTTGAATATTTTAACATGTTACTTGCAGAATAATGCGAGTTAACAAACGAAAAAGAATGACAATTTCTGTTGGGATATGCCTGTTGACTAAAATAAACTTAGCCTACACTTTACAGCACATTACATTAGTTATTTACATAAAACGTTCTTAATGTATATATAATTCTTACATATAGTAGGTGTGTCTTGTCAGTGAAATTGATGATGTTCTAACCATGAAAACACTAGGCATTCACTGTTGAAATATCCTGTATTTTACTACTTATCGACACCCTATCTATCTCGTGGTAGTATTATTTAATAAATCATAATATAAATTACATCTTACTGCAAATCTCTCGTATATACGTCTGTACGGTATATGTCCACTTTTCCGGAAAATGTTAATTATTCATTTATAAAAATGACTTATGGGAAAACAAAATTGATATGAAATGCAAGAAACACTGGAATAATTTAGAACGATATTTAGATATTACGCATGAAAAACAACAGAAGGAATTTGTGTAATTCAATATATAATTTAGATCGAATTAAATATCACTATTATTGTAATGAGTGAGAATGAAAGAATGAACGATTTGAAGTTTGAGAGAAGATATGAAAAAGAAAGAGAGAACCAAGGTTAAAAGGCCTCCTGCATGAGGTTTACAGTTTATAAGAGGGATGAACCCGGGGCACCTCAACCCAAGCCTCCATTCCAAAAGATGCTAGGGGAATAAAGTCCAATTTGAACGTAAAAAAACAAAATCGATATCACTCGTGTTAAAGGAAGACATCACCTCGCTTTTAATTGGTGTCCCTCCTGATATAAACTTGATGTGGAGACTATGTTACTGACACGTACTACTTGACGAACAAACCGTCTAAAGTTAAATTCGTGATGATTTATAACATTGACATGACAGTTGAATCACAAAGGTTATGATAAACTGCAAATATATTTATTTCATACAAATTTACATATTTGATAAGATAAAAATGCAACAATGCATTATGAGACATGTGTTAATAAGGCGCGTTCTGTTGGCGCTGATTCAGATATTAGCTGTACTGAAGAAACCTACACATACCTGTTACTTCAATATACACTGCCCTCCAAAAGTTCTGTTAAATATTTTAAATTTTTCTGATAAATTATCTTTGACAAAACTATTGGAAAAAATAATTATCTTTAAATGTTTTTCTATTAATGAAAAGGGTGATAATGTGATTAAGATGATTTGCAATCATTGATTATCCAAATTGATTCACAAAAAGGGTTTTGTCAAACAATTCTGTTATTTCACATTTTATATAAATCTATCAGATGCTTGAGAATTGTTAGATTTACTTAAATGTACACGGTATTTAATTTTAATTTAATTTGAAATGACAAAATACATCACTATTCACCATTAATTGATTATTTGTTATCTTTTTAGTATAGTTGTAGTATTCAATCAATTTGCAAATACTTATGAGAAGAAATGCAGCGAATGACAAGAGAAGAACGATTCCAGTGTGTTTTTTACCATCGCAATGGTGCTGCTGCCGTCCAAACTTCAAGAATTCTTGAAACCAGCAGGTAAGTGAATGTTTTCCTGCCAGATTTTAATCATTTGCAAACTTTTCTTATCCAGAACCTGTCTATAGTTGTGTTACTGTTTCCCTTTTGTTGCAGTCAGAACGTGTACAGGGCCATTAAACGGTTCCAAGATACCGGGAACTATGAAGATCGAGAACGTTCTGGCCGGCCACGGATTTCTAACCCTCGGGATGATAGATTAATATTCCGGACCAGCCTCAGTAATCGCAAGGATAGCGTTCCTGAGCTTCGAACGGAGTGGATCCAAAACGGTGTGGTAGCGTCGAATACCACAGTGAGGAGACGATTACACAATGCGGGATTGAAAGGTTGTGTTGCTGTCAAAAAAACCACTTTTGACTGCTACCCATCATCGGAAAAGATTGACATTTGCACAGAACCATGCAAATTGGACATTGGTGGACAGTTTATGTTTTATGGACTGATGAGTCTAGGTTCACAATTTTTCAAACAGATGGCAGGACGTATGTGAGAAGAAGGGCAAATGAACAGTTGCGGCAAGACTGTGTAGTGCCTACAGTTAAGTTTGGTGGTGGCGGTGTGACAGTTTGGGGTGCAATGTCCTACCGAGGGACTGGATACCTCACTCCTTTAAAAGGAAATCTGAATAAAACCAAATACATTGACATTTTAGAAAACAGACCGGTACCATCAGCACATCTGCTAGGCTATGGAAGCAACTATTTCTTCCAGGATGACGGTGCCCCGTGTCCTTTGTTGTGTACATACAATTTTGGGACTGATTGAAAAATCAAGTTGGCTGACAATCATGAATATTTCTTATAAATAACTGGAGGTATTTTTCTCAAATTTTACATATCAAATTATATTCTTTACGCTCTCTATTGTGGATATTTCATAAAAAAAGTTCCCCCTATTACACTTTACTTACTTTTATAGTTAAGTGATTAACGATGACGTCACCTTTAAAGAATATTGTCATACACCGTTATATGAAATTAGGTGCAATTACTTGTTACATGACTTAATAAAAGAGATAAAATAAACTAAAGAGAAAGAAACGAAAAGGTTAGTCTTACATATTCCGTCTTTGCGTATTGCAGAGTTATCTTCTCTTTGGAGGAGGTATTGATTGTTAAGTCACTTGTTTGTGAGAGTAACGTCATCAATGTCTGAGAAAACGACGTAATTTTCTCTCACAAACCAATGACGTAACAATCAATACCTGCTCCCAAGAGAAGATAACTCTGCAATATGCAAAGACGGAATATCTAAAGATTATTATTAAAATGGTAAACACGAAGATCTCTTGTTATAGACGGTCTGTAACGCTATGTTCGGACAAAAAGAATATGAACAAACAGGATAGTCATGAACATTGCCTTGAATGATATTAATGGTATGAATTCTTTTGAAATTAATTTTAAATTACAGTGGTTAATTCCAGTATAACCAATTAACTTTTGCAAATTTATGTAATTAATACTTCTTATTGAGAACCAAACTATGACCAAGACCAGTTGGTGAAAGAGTTCAGAATTTGGATGATATCATTATAATCATGTCATTTATCAGAATTAAAACTTAGTTTTGATATACTTTACCTTTTCACTACTGTTACATGTATGGGACTTTTCCACAATCTTTAAGCGCGACTGATCAGTTAGTATTTATTTTCAGAACTTTACCCAGCGGTTCCATTGACGTCACTTTGCGACAGAAATAACACAGACAGCAGAAGATCAAATTACAGGTAGAATTTGCTTCAAACACTGCAGGAACAAAAACCTTTGAATACCTACATTTATTCTGTATAAGATATATACTTTTGTAATTACTAGTAGTATCCGAATGAACTTTCAGCACTCAAGCAAAAAGGAATATGTGTGCTTTATTGACTGGCATCCTGCTTCTTTATCAAAGCATATCAAGGAAAAGACGGAAGTACAGACAAACCAGCTGGAACATAAACACGAGGTTAGTACAATGATCGATGCATATACAACACTGAGAGGAAGAACTATGGAATCCCATACGGAGCATGCTAGGAAAGAACTGGTTTCATCTGTTGGCCTAAATCATCGAAACAAAACGGCGTAAAGCAAAATGCGAATCTTCTGTTTCGACCAATGCAATTCCATCTGACACGTGATGGGTACAAAATGTAATACCTTGAATGTGTTGGAGCATTAAGTTCAAGTCTAATGAGAAAGACAATGTATGGATCGAAGAACGAATATACTGCGAAAGCAACAGACACAATAAAAAAGTGAATGCAGTATTAATACCAAGCAAGCATCTAACATTTGCAGGATTTCAATAAAAAAAGAAGTAAATAAATAAATAATAAACAATTGGCAATCGAATAAAATCGTGTCCGTAATTAGCTTCGCTTTAAATATCTCTGTGTATTTCCTTTGTAAAACCAACATCCATCCGGTATCTTACGAAGCATCGTTAATTCCCATCGACTGAAGCCCACGTGATGGACACTCGGGGAGTATATTTTGATATATATATTTATAAATGCGACAGTATACTCTAATGTCGACTTCTTTATTACATCACAATGATGTTTTCGGAAAATAAATCTTAGTAGACCGATATCTCCGCATACAAAGCGTTAATGCTTTGACAGAAAAACAATGTTGGAATTCGCCAATGGGCGACTCACCTTCTGCACATTTACTTGTAGGAAAAACTGATTGGCGAATTCAACATTGTTACTCCGTCAAACAAATTCTCTTGAGTAACATTGCACAGTAGAAGATCAAACATGCACTACTGTAATTGATGTATGTAAATATGTATAGACATGTATAGTATTATTGTTGGCCAAATCAACTTAAGAGGTATATTATATATGAGTAATTTACTTCTTTTATTTACAATGTCCTCTGTCGGCAGCATTTTCAAATATATCATAACCATTCGACTCATTATTTTATCGAAGGGAATAAATGCTGATTCAATAGAGCAACGAAACATTTTGAATCCCCCTCAATATTTTTTCAAAATGTCAAAATTGTCGAGTGCTTCCAGCAAAAATCATACATACTAGAGAATGCTTTGAAAAATATTTTGAAATGCAATTTTTGAATTAGACTACTGTGATTCTATAATAATGAAAGTTCATTTATGTTGATGTAAATATTCAAAAAGACCGTTCCAATCATCTCGAGCATAGCTTTAACATTTAAATACCTAAATATTTCGACCTTTACAGTGTATTACTTCTGCATATGGCCTCCAGTAGCAATTCCGGTTTCTGCAATTAGTACACAAACTTGTTATATCTCTTTTGGAGTATATGTGGATGCGTTGGGCTTCCCCCTCTCTATTTGTTTCTTTTAATTATTTGTTCCTGCTTTGATGCCAGATGGAATACACAGATCTGCTTTATGTTATTGTTAGGCTTGTCTTTTGTTGTTAAGAGATTATGTCCCAGTTTGTGATTGGACATGAAAAATCCATAGAGACTGATTCACATATATGTTGGTCTCAAATATGCATTTAATTTAAGATGTCAAAATTGGCGAATCCCCTACTCCTATTTCACACATAACTGGTGACTGGCTTTCCAGGCAGCAATTAAATATTATGAAACGGAATTAACTTTGACTTTTGTCAAGGGATCTGCTTACATAACCATATTACATGTGTGTTTCACTCACATGATGTTTGGTTTCATCATAAAAAGAAAGACAGTATTTTCGAGTTAATTATCACATGCAGTGTATATGTATGTAATCTGCACAGGCAAAGGCACAGTAACATCGCGACGACAGAAATCTCTGTCCTGATTTTGAGTATTGTTCTCGATTATAAACTTGCTTATACATTTAACATAAAACGTATGTAGGCATGGTCACGCTTCTCCTTCCTCGAGCATCTCGAACTATACTGTACATGTAATTTGATCTTCTGTTGTCTGTGTTGAAGCTGTTGCCATGATGACGTCATCGTATTGTCATCCAATCGATCTTCCTCTCCATTAATACACAAGTATGTGCTGATCCTTTACGATCTTTTGTCCGTCTTTATTCTCTCGGCCTGATATTACAAATATCAGGCACTACTGCAGCTGACTTCTCTGTTGTTATACTCACACTTACTGTTCAGCTTTTTATTTACGCATTTATACAAAACACACGCTAAAAAGAATAAAAGTATCATCGTGACTTAGTATGTTGTAACGTTAATTTTTATCAAATGGATGAACATTTCTAACAAACCAATACGTTGCTTAATCACCTTAATTAAGTGCATGTTTTCTATGACGTTTGCGACATTTTAGTCGACAAAAGATAACACCCTGGTGAATTTACATACGTGTAGGAATCAGTATGTATATGCGTATAAATATTCCTACGGCATTTGTGTAGAGCATTACTACGATAGCGCAGAAACTTATATATTTTATTAGGATCATGTTATACTAAACTGTGGCAATGTGTCAAAGTATTAGGTATATAACGTTTATATGAGTTGATGTTTAATAATCTTGGACACATGAATAAAATATTTAATCATAACACCAGAACTTTGGCCCTGTATCATCACCGCTGAGTCCTGGAGGGTCGACAGAGCTGTATGGTGTAGTGTAATTTATTTGTGACATACTGCATCTATTACAAACCTCTAAATGTCTTATCACTTGTGTTAGTGTTACTTTATTCCAAATTGTGCGACATTGCTTCTTAATTTAATGAGTCTATTAATCCAAATAGTACAGAATTGTATGGTTGTCTTGTATAATTTAATTCAGATGCAGCAAGCATATCAACATTGATTACAAATAAATATGGAAAAAGGCTGTTGTTTACCTACTTTTAGGGAAAGATCCGCTAAAATGATAGACAAACACACGTGTATTAAATCTAAACTTTTTAAAAATGTTATAACAATCATGAATGAAGTTTTCCAGCTTATATAAATCAATCTTGTTGGTCTGCATGGAAGTGTGCAGTGTGTACCCGGAGAAAAAAACCCAAGTTGTCGGGCAGTTGGCCCCAGACATTTCACGTCCGTCCGGGCAGTCGAACCCCGGCCGCAATGGTGAAAGGCAAGTGTGCTATCCGATGCGCCACCCGACCGCCCTATACGTTTATATAAAGCTACAAAATGTATGAGTCTGTAAAAGAGTATTTTATATTGTAATATCAATGAAGTTAGCATTGAGCTCTAGACCTTGCCTACACGTGTAGGTCTAGAGCTTGAAATATCGTTTATCAATCTTTTTCGTCTATCAAATATTACATAAAAAACTACCAACCTTTAATGTGACACAGGTACACTGCATAAAGGTAGTACTTATATTAATAATTGTCAAATAATGAGGCCCTCCCTTTAAAGACTTGTTTTCTTGATATTGACAAATTGTTGTCTTTAAAATATGAAGAAATGTGTTGACCACATCGTTCACTTTAATGTTTTTCCGATGTTTAATTTTCCCCTTCTTGAGAGTAACATCCGTTTTTGCTTTTCCCCACAACCTAAGTGTTTACATGT